TCCTACTCCATTTATTTGAATGACTTTTTTAAATACAAGACAATTATAACAGCTCATGGTTCATTGTCTTGAGCCTGTCATCTTAAAGCAAATATTGAATGATTTACACTAGTAGCAATATTTATAAGAAATCTTTACAGCTAGACCAAACGCAAAAGCAGTCCGTGTTCTTAAGACTAAGTTAAACTCTAATGTTGCAGTAAGATTAATTGGACCAAAAATAAATGCAACGTTGAGGAATTTGATCGTTTAGTTTCAGAAACAGTTGAGAAACCTCAGCATCCTGTCTCCAAGGATACAGGTAACTATCCACAGGATGTCACCAGAGAATCATTTTGCCTTAGCTACTGTATCATAAATCCCAGAATTGGGTAACCCTCTTTATCTTGGCTTTATAAAGGCAGCGTAATATTGTAATTTAAATACCTCTAACTACAGAGAGAGAACAGATACTATTCCTGCATCATCTCTTCAGAGATAGTTCAATAAGCTTGCACCAGTGCTCCTAATGGCAAAAATGGTACTCCATTAGTAAGGTTATGATTTCGTCAGTTATTTTTAGTAAAAGTCACGGACAGGTTACAGGCAGTAAATAGAAGTTCATGGAAGCCGGCAACCTGTCCATGACTTTTACTAAAAATAACCGTTGGGGGGCCCTGACTGAGAGCCCAAGTGCGGGGGCTGGGGGGCTGGAGGGAGAATGACACACAACTGACTGTTCGTGCTGGTGCGCGGGGGGGGGGGGGGGGGGAGGGGGGGGAAAGGACAGCTCCAACTCCAGCCATGGCTGCTGCGGGGGACAGCTCTGGCCATTGGGAAAGAGGGGAAGAACAGCTCCAGGCCCAGGCCCCAGCTGGAGAGGGAGGGGGGAGTACACACAACACAGCTCTGGCGCCAGCCCACAGCTGTGAGCGGCGGGGGAGAGGTAAGCTCCAGCCCCGGCCTCAGCCACTCCGGCAGGGGATGAAGCCAAAGAAGTCACTGGGCCCATTAAAGTCTCAGTCTCTGTGATTAAATCATATTCTTTACCATCAGATTCTGACAAACCTAAACTTCCGGGCCCAAAGAGAGACTTTAGCAATGCCATTTTTGTGACAATGGAATCAAAAGAGACTCACAAGTAAAGCAAAGTTATACCAAATGAGAGCCCATTGGCAGAGCTCCCTTCTTTGGCTGCAAGAGATGCCAGAAGCCATATCAAGAAAATGTTTATTTCTGTATTTCTCAGTCTGTTCCCTAGAGTTCCAAGTTTCCAGATCAGTTACTCAAATATTGGCTTGACCAGGGAAGTTAATGCATTTATTCAGCAATTGAGACAAGACATTCTTCCAGGTGGTCGTTGTTTTCTAATTACACTTGCTGCTGTCATGCACTCTGCAGCAGATGTAATTATATTCTGAGAACTTTAATTTCTAGCTTGAAACTCTGATTACTGGAAGAGGCATATTGAAATGGCTGCATTTTTAGACCACTGCTTGGATACACCTTGTAGATCAACTACATTCTCTTGCCCAAGTCCAAACACACAAATATCCAGAATCTAGCCCACCTGCTCAGGCAGATGCAGGTCATTGTTCTGTACCATGTTCCCTCATAACAGAACCCATCAGATAAGGTAATCTTTATTCTACAGCTGGACTACAACGTTAAACTTTTAGATGTTTTGGGTAATGTCAGTGATACATACAACTCCACTGAAGTCAGTGGAGATGCACCCAATGGTTTTCCAGTACATCAGTATATTTGATTATTTATATGGGGTGCTGCATGCATTCCCTTATGCACCTTATCTTTAATCTAAATATTAATTTATATCAAGAGTACTAGCTGGTAAGCAGTTTGAGCTCATTTAAAGTTGAACAAAGGTAGAAACAATTTAGACAGCAGGTCAGGGATATATATTCAGATTAGCCTTTAAAAGAATTAGGATCCAACTTTCAGAAGAATATGCACACTTAAGCTTCATTGGTGGATTGGTGAAAAGGCCTACTGAGCGAGGTCCATCACTCCTCCACTGGGAAATCACTGTTAGGTCCATTACTCATTTCAAAGAGCCTGGATTTTTTACCATATTAAAAATAGCACTAATCAGAGAATTCCAATATACACCTCTACCCCAATATAACGCTGTCCTCGGGAGCCAAAAAATCTTACCGCGTTATAGGTGAAACCGTGTTATATCGAACTTGCTTTGATCCACCAGAGTGCGCAGCCCCACCCCCCTGGAGCACTGCTTTACTGCGTTATATCTGAATTCATGTTATAATGGGTCGCGTTATATCGAGGTAGAGGTGTAGATGCCTTAGTTTTAGCAGATAGTATATGTCAAATTGTAGCAGATAGTATATGTCAAGGATTTCTTTGTCAAGTGTAAAATTTTCTGGGTGACAGTTTTTTCACTTGCTACTGTACCTCTTGATGGCCTAGTTTAAACCTAGCAATGAAAACAGTATTAATTTAAGAAGAGATCTATTTAAGAATGTTTCTATAGAGTCCTTCACTGAACTGCATATTAGTTAGGCAAGCCCTGTGGAAATTAATGAATGGTGAAGGGAAGAGAGGAAATTGCAGAAGAAATGGCTGTTGAGCTGTTTTAAATGATATCCATGCAATCAAGAATCAATAACAAAGCACTTTCTAAAGATGATGCAGATTTTGCAGCTACCAAGTCAAATTAGGTTTATCCAAATTCTTCTGTATAAATTATAGAATCATAGAAATGTGGGGCTGGAAGGGACAGACAGAGGTCAAGTCCAACCTCCTGAGCTGAGGCAAGACTAGTAGCCCTGGACCATCCTTGGCATGTGTTAGTCCAGCCTGCTCTTAAAAACTTCCAGTGAGGGGATTCTACAGCCTCCCTTGGAAGCCTAATAAGGAAGTTTATCCTTAAACTTAAAGTTTTTCATAATATCTAAAATTTATTACTTCTTGTCCTACCTTCATTGGACATGCAGAACAATTTATCACCATCCTCTTTAGAACAGACCTTAACAAATCTGAAGACTTATAAGATAACTCCCCCTCAATACCACCTTTCCCCAAGATTAAACACACCCATTTTTTTTGTAACTTTTCCTCATAGGTCAGGTTTTCCAAACCTTTTACCATTTTTGTTGCTCCTCTTATGGACTCTCCAATTTATCCACCTCTTTCCTAAAGTGTCATGCCCAGAACTGGACACAGTACATCAGCGCCACTGCAGCAGTGAAGACAAGGCTTAAAGTGTGTGCTCTCTTTAGTATACAGTTAAGAACCCTTAGTTTCTGAAGTAAGTTCAGGAGTGGTCATGCAGCGTGTTCTCAGGTTGTGGTAACAGCTTAATGGAAAAGGTGTTTAACCTTGACATTAGAAAGTGGAGAACTCTTGTGAGGTGGAGAACCCTTGTGAGAACTCCTGTTCTCACGGGTTCAAACAAGAAATTTTTTGGTGGCCTTAGAGTGCGGCCACCAACTCTTACTGGTGGCTGCGCTGACAATTTTTCCTAAAATATTTAACTTACTTTAGGAAAAACAAATAAATATACACATGTACAAATCACTGTAATTTATGTAGGATTTTTTTTCAGACTCGATACTAAAAATAATGTACAGTTGTCTCTATGCTTTACTGGACCTAAACAGAATAGAATCAAAATAAGGTGCTTTGCATGTTCTTCTCTTTTTTTTGTTTTTTTGGTTGCTGTTTTACTTTTTTTTGACTTGCTAGCTAGTAAGTCTGCTCCTGTGAAAACTGATATTTGCTGTGAAAAGCGTTATTAAAAAAATCTACAGACTTACTCAGCCCTGGCAAGCTAGGTGATAAATTAAGCTCTGAATAGAGAGGTGGGTAGTGAGGCAGCGGGGGCCAGGGGCAATGGAGGGCTGGAGAAGGGGGGCCATGGGTGATGGGAGGGAGGTTGAGCCTGGGGCCGGAGCCCAAAGCCCCGTGACTGGTGGATGGAGCCTGAAGCTCTGTGGCTGGAACCCAAAGCCCCTGGCCAGAGCCTGCTGCCCAACGCCCCAGGGCTGAAGCCGGAAGCCTGAGCACCACTGCCCCTGGGAAAGGGGAGAACTCTTGCTGGCTGTCTGCTCCTCTGGTGTTTGTGGCTCCAGAGGGGGGCAGGGCCCAACCCCTACTGGTGACCCCCAGGAAGGGGTGAATGCTTTGCCACTCCCCCCCTCCTCTCCAATCACTGCCCAAGAGGCTGTAGTCACAAGAAAACCCCTGATGGCCACGGTGGCCACATTTGAGAAACACTGCTCTACAGCATCCTTTCCAATACCTCTCCTGACCATCTCACAAGGATATGTCTGCATTTGCTCAAGAGGAATCTGATCATATACTGTGTTCATTTACTCTACATTGCCAGGGTAGGAGTTAATCATAAAAAGGAAGAATGGTAAGAGAAGAGAAATATGAAATGTTTCATTTGTGTTGTCATTTAGCAAACTCTAATATTCTGAAAAAGAGTTCAGCATTCCTGCCCCGCATCTGTGGTGGAATTAATATGGAGCAGAAAAGAAGCTGCAGAATAATCGTTGTGCTATTAATGCAATGTGGTGAATCCTGGTTTACTTTCATAGCCCAGCTTTCATAGAGTGGAATTCTGGTATGCAAAAGATGTTAGAAATAGAGAATAAAGAACTATTAACTTGTTCAAAATGTTGCTTCATGTGTCAGTTTGAATTCAGTGCTTCCTTACTGGTAGTTGTATTTTCTTATCTAACTCCTAGGCTTAATTTTCAGTGCAGTTGGTGTGTTTTTTCTCAAGTTATTAGTACTTTATTTTCAAGTTTGATTTGTTAGATCATAATGCCACTTTATTTTCTTGTGTAGTGTTAGGTAATTTATCCATAATGATACAGCACTAAGCCCTTCTATAAAACAAATATTTGTGTTAGTACTGCTCTAGTGCCTTAAGTAGAACCACGTTATCTTTTTCCTGAGTGTACCACACAAGCTGAGATCATTTAGTGGTTTACTGTCAAGACTGACATTTTGATTGTCCTTATTTTTTGTAGAGCAAGGCTTAGATCACATAGCAGAAAATATCCTTTCCTATCTTGATGCCAGATCGCTCTGTGCAGCAGAGCTGGTGTGTAAGGAATGGCAGAGAGTCATCTCTGAGGGAATGCTATGGAAGAAATTGATTGAGAGAATGGTGCGCACTGATCCACTGTGGAAAGGGCTCTCTGAAAGAAGGGGTTGGTAAGTACTACTGCAATATGTAAACTAATTCACCCAGCTTTGTAGGCTATTCGTAACAAATGTCCCTAATCCAGTGTTCTGCCAAAAGGTAAATTTATGGTATTGTTAGTCCTCGTAAATCTTCTGTGGAGAAGTGTGGGGGTGGTTAGGATAGACGGGAGGGGGGCATAAGTTGTATTAAAAATCTGTATTTGTTTAATCTGCTCCCTTTTTCTTCAGGTATCTTGCTCGATTTCCCTGCCCACCCCATTGCTTTTCACTTTTTGAGTTCTTATGGTAAATTTTACTCTGCAAAGTCTCACTGTAGCAGTTGTTGCATATTTATCCATATTACCTCTGAACTGTAATGTGCAACGCTGAGTACAGAAAGCTACTCAATATGCTTGTTAAGTACTTTGTCAAGTGAAATATTGCCACTTAAACTTTTGCGAAATGACTAATTAGAATTCAAAATTTTATTTCTTTCCTGGTAATACTTTGTTCCAGATTTGGGAAAACGGGGGTTTTCCATCTTTTGCAAATCCAGAGGGAGGTTCCTCTGTGTGTTTTTCCTCTCTAGCATCTTGCTTTACTGCGCTCTGTAATAGCATGCCCATGAAACTGCAGACTCTGACTCAAGACCTGTCAAAGGTGGGAAACCCAGCAATCCTTTTCTGAACCTCAAACATTTTTAAATACAGCCGTTATTGAGGTGTATAGTCCTTTAGACATTCTTTTGCATGGGTTAACTGACTTTAAGGTATCAAAGTATTGTTTGAGAATGTATATGCTGCGTTTTAGCTTAGTGCAGAATTATCCATTGTGCAGGGATTTTTGGTTTAATGTAATACTGGAAAATATAACTTTTTTTGTTTGTTCTTTGTTAGGGATCAGTACCTGTTTAAAAACAGACCCACAGATGGCCCCCCAAATTCATTTTACAGGTCATTATACCCAAAGATAATACAGGATATAGAGGTATGTTTTCCAACACAACTTTTTCAATGCAAATAACTTTTTCAAGCTAGTACATTTTCCTGATAGTTTGTTACTCTGATATATATTTCTAAACAGTGTTTTTAAATATGATGCATTATGTAATTGATTACACTATTTCTAGTACTAATTCTGATTTGCCAGGAAAATGCAGTAAATATGTGCAGTAATTTATTGGATAGAGTAAATACAATATGAAGATAACTTGGTAATGTCAATGTTAGAAGTATGTTTCTTTTTCTGAAAGACTTTGGGACTTTTCAGAAATGAATTGTGAAGTCTGACTTAACAGAATTCTAATATTTAATAGTCTCGTGCACCCCAAGACAATCACATGCATACTGTATAACCAGTTTTTCTATATAATTTGATTATCCTAACTTTTTTAAAAGTTCAGATTTAAACTTCTAATATTAAACATTAAAATACCAAGATCTATTTAATATTTTCATTTCCCCCCTTAATTTTAAGAGACTCAAGATAACAAATATAGCTGTCCTTACAAGGAGTGCAGAATTTTGTTGTCTTTCTTGAATGACTGTAGTAAGAGTCTACAATACGGTTATAACATAAAGTGCGTTTTAGGGATAAAGATGAGACAGAAATGACTTTTTGTTTGACAATGTGATATTTTGCTTACCTTGTAAAAGAGCTACAAAGTTATGGCTTATTTACTTTTCAACATATGTTTTTGACAGATTAAGGTCATCTTGGTGTTCACATATTAGAAGAAAAGCTTAGTCTTATCCAGTTAGCTATGTATCTGCCATAAAAATGTGTTCCTTAGACCAAAAACTGTAATGCATTTATTTCAGCCAGGTGATGGACATAAAAGTTAGTGGTCCAAAATTCATTAGTGAAGAAACATGTGTTTGTTGGTTAAGGCAGATGTGAACTAATGGAATCATTCTGTTATGGCAAATGTGAGCTTGTATGGCTAGCACTTCATGAACAAAATTACTCAAAACTCCAACCTGTCTGTAAAATTTAGCTACCCCGCAAATCAACTCTAACTCTCATTTTCAAATATATATATTTTAACAAGCTACTGATAACCATTCAAATGATTTTTTTCAAGTATAGATCTGAACATAAAATAAAGCCTAAGCAAAATAAAATCAGCCACGATATTAGTACTTGTTGGTTGTGCACCATACACCTTTACATACTTGTGTGGTGAGATAGCTTGTTTTATCCTTTTCTCTTCTGCATACAAGTTCTTTTAGCATGGTTGAAGTTGATTTCCTGAAATAAGATCCTTCTGGTATCGGTTAACCCATGCTTTGCTGTGATTGTCACCTGGCTTAGGCAGCAGGCTTCCCTCCGTTGCTTCAGTTTTATTTCTTGCTGGAGCCCCCTTCTCCATTAGTATGGGCCAGATCTTGTTCCCATTCAAGTAAGTAGCAAAAATAGCAGTATTTGGTCCTAAAAATTCTTTTACTACTTGCATCCTTTGTGCATCTTTATGTTATTGGCCAGAGTTAGAGATATGAAAGTTTTGAAACTGATTACCCTAACTGACAGGAAATGAACGGCCATAAAAGCTGAAAAAAAACCAAAACCCCAAAACCTACCCTGATGTCTATGATTGAATATAAAAAAATAATAATAAAAAAAAAAATCCAGCCTTGCGTGTTTTAAGTGATCTTACAAAGTGCGGGGGCGATATCAGTGAAATCTGTAAGTCTGATGGAGACATTTTCTTGTAACTGTGCAAGTTTCCAAGAAAATTAAACTTAAGATTGTAAATTCAAAACAGTATCTTAAGAACCCACCTTAATAGACCCACTGTACTAAAAAAAATTAAAAGAAAATTGATGTCATGGAAATTTTTGAGAGTTCACATCTTCAAAGCAAAACAAAGCCAAAAAAATCCCCAACACAACAAGCAAAGATACCAGGTGTTTCAAAATCTGGAAATGTAGACTCAAAGTATTTTATTGAACTGTAACTCTCCTCCCATAACTGCCATTCAAAATACATTTGGCCCTGGCCTGTCACATCTTTCATTAAATGAGGTTCCTCTGGAATCTGTGTAGTACTTGTAAAATGTACAGGGATAAGGTGGCTGTCTGTGACTGAGGATTCTGTTGGAACAAGGATATGTGAAAGTGATATGTGGTAGGTAATGTTTCTCCTGTAGTCTCTTAACTATACTGAGTAGTTGGTTGGGTGTGGCACATTGCATTGAGGGGCATATGTGTATGGTAAGTGGGAAGCTGTTGGTGTAGCTGGTATGTCAAAGGGCAGAGGAGAATCTGGCTTTGAAGATGCTATTTCTGTAGTCGGCAACTGGTACTTACATTCATACGCTGAATATGGAATATAACCTTGCCCTGTAGAAGGTATGGATTGTCTCTTTAACTCACGTGAAGGGAGGTGAGCATACAGGATCAGAGTTAAGGTGGTTTAGAGAACCGTAACTCTTGCATTTCTATACTTTCATAACGTTTTGGTGTTTTGCAGGTATCCTTAACTTAAAATGTCCTGGCCTTCTAATGCTTGGTGTCTGTAAAATAAAATATTCTATCAAGTCTTTCCCCAAAATTACTCATACAAACTTATAACCATAATTCCATTTTAACATTAACTTTTCTCTGGGACGCCTTAGGGCTTTGAAGAGGTAGCTTGATCAGTCAAGGGCTTTTTAAGTTAGCAGACAAAGAGATAAGATCCAATGTCTGAATGCCGAAGCTGGACAGAGTCAGACTTAAAAATAAGGCATACATTTTTAACAGTCAAGGCAATTAACCATTGAAACAGCTTTCTTAGGGATTTTGTGGCTTCTCCACCTCCTGAAATCTTTAAATCAAGATTAGAGGTCTCTCTAAAAGAGATGCTCCATCTCAATCACAAGTTACGGGCTTGATGTAGGAATCACTGGGTGGAATACTAAGTCGTAATGTTTATTCAGGATGTCAGACTAGATGATCATAACTGTCCTTTCTGGCCTTAAGATCTGTAAATTTATAAAACACTAGTCTGTACTCTTTACTGGCTGTCAGCGACATCAGGTGAATTCAAGGGGCTGGCTACCACCCACCAAGCCCCACATGGGTGTTGGCCGCACCAGACACTCACTCCTACTTAACATGCCATCTTTATTTGTCCAGGACACCTAAGCTAACTACTCAAAGGAAGCCAGGTCTTTCAGTTACAGGTCTCTCACTCTGGAATTCACTCTACCCAAAATCAGTGTAAGCCTTAGCTTGTCCATATTCAGGAAACAGACATGTCTTTGTCCAGACTTCTAAGGATATGAAGTCTCTCTTGTTAAGCCAACTCTCACTTCCAGAATCCGAAGCATTCAGCTTATACCAGCAAAATTTTCCTAGTCTTGGTCCTATGAAGTTGCTAATTTGGAGGGGAGACTGTAGATGGGTTGAGGAGTTGTGCAATTTGGGACTTGTTCTCTATGCTGAAATGTTTCTTTTCAATTTAAGCCCTGGGAAATGTTCACATGTTCCAGATGTTTCCATCCTGGATTAGGGTTGATGCTTTTAGTACCCTAAATTTCTTGAGCTAGTAGTCAAGGGTCGGATAATTTTTTCTCTTCTAAGGTCCCGTCATTTCTAATTCTTCCAATAAATGTTTCTGTGAGGTATGATTCATAAGGGCTCTCTCCCTGTGGACTCTCAGAACAAGTTGTTGACACAGTCCTTCAATCAGAAAGTCTGCAACACAAAAAGCCAGCTACAGCACTTGGACCCCTTTTCTCTAGGTATTGCTAACGGTGACAGACCCAGACCAGTGGGGTACAGGAGTCTGGTAGAGGGCAAATATACTGGTCACTGGATGAGTAGTTTTCTGTTCCCTGAATGACCAGTGCAGGGACCGCACTAGAGTAATCAGGAACCTGCTAGAACCAGTTAAGGCAGGCAGGCTAATTAGGACACCTGGGTTTTAAAAGGAGCTCACTTCAGTTTGTGGTGCGAGTGTGAGGAGCTGGGAGCAAGAGGCTCAAGGAACTGAGAGTGAGAGGGTGTGCTGCTGGAGGACTGAGGAGCACAAGTGTTATCAGACACCAGGAGGAAGGTCCTGTGGTGAGAATAAGGAAGGTGTTTGGAGGAGGCCATGGGGAAGTAGCCCAGGGAGTTGTAGCTGTCATGCAGCTGTTACAGGAGGCACTATAGACAGCTGCAGTCCACAGGGCCCTTGGCTGGAACCCGGAGTAGAGGGCGGGCCCAGGTTCCCCCCAAACCTCCCAATTGATCTGGACTGTGGGTTCTTCCAGAGGGGAAGGTCTCTGGGCTGTTCCCCAACCCACATGGTGAATCTCTGAGGCAAGAAAATTCGCCAATAAGCGCAGGACACACCAAGATATAGGAGGAACTTTGTCACATAACAAAAGGGTGGAGGTAGAGGGGTACAGCTTGATTTAATTTCATCCCCTCCGTTCTTGAGTTCTTCAAAAGATCATGCAGAAAACTGCTGTAAAAATACCAGACTTCATCTTAGGGGCCATTCATTGTCTGAAGGATTTTCTATCCTTGCTGATTTTTAAAAGCAGTGTTGTTCTCTTACTTCAAACCTTGTTCTATAATATCTATCTGTAACATCATCCTGTGTAAGCTTTGTGATCCCTACCTTTCCACAGGAACTGTAAATTCAGTATCCATCTTTGGCACACCACTTAAGTTGTTTTCCTGGTGACTATCACATTAGCACTCAGAAGGCAAAAACATGTTTTTACAATATATTTACCTGAAGTCCACATTTTTATTGTAACAAAATGTACATGTTATGACTTACTTCTCACTATCAATATTTCACATGCAAGGTACAAGGATAAACCAGAACCCATTGTTAAACTATTTTAACAACAAAAGGGATTTCATTAATTTATGCAGCTGGTACTAAATTGGGTCATAAGTGAGGATAAGTTCAGCAGAAAAATGGTCTGTCTCCATTGGATTGACTGAATGACAGAATTCAAAAAGTAATCTAAAAACCAAATTGACAATTGGAAGCAAAAATGAGGG